CTTTGTGAAGCACAGGCAACTCACAGAGAATGTCATCCACTCTAACAATTGATTTTCTTCTGTAGAATAACGTCAGACCTTTTAAATAAAAGGCTGACCTGTCTCCTTCTAAAATAATTTTGTCGGTTTTATGGAGTGTTGTTCTGATTATATACAATTCCCACAAGAAGGGAAGTACCTTTAAAATAAGGACTATTCAGTACTAGTACAGGATTTCCTCTTGTTGTTGATAATTTCCTCTTAACAGAAGACGCAATGAATCCCAGAGAAATTCAAAGGGGCAATCTACAGACAGATAGGCAACAACATTATAGGGGGCACATTGTTCAATCAAATTGATGTTTTCCTTATGAAGTAAAAAATCTGCTTGCTGTGTAGCATGTGAAAGAGTTCGTACTGCACACACTTCAGTCCCCTTCGTTACAATTTTAAATCACCATACAACCCCACACATTTTTACATAACCATCACCGAACAATAATAGGTGATAATTCTTTTCATTTCATCTTTTGATATTGAAATTCAGCCTCTGAATTGGTCTCTCTGATAAAGAAGACAGGCTTGGTGATAATAGAAACCAGTATTACCACGTTATTATCTGCACTATAAATAGCATATGTATAATGTGAAGTAAGTCAGCAGTTGTGAATTCTCTCTACTGGATGTTTCTTATTACCAAAATGGTTCCATACTCCTTTCACTAGATCCAGTTTTTCACTACTAGAATGTGGATCTGTACTGTTCACCTCATGGTGAAGGAAATCTCATAGCTATGTAGATAACTAACATGTGCCCCAAAACACTGTACCAAAATCCAAGAATGAAGCAGCTAAGGCTGAGAACTTCATGGGAATGGCTGCCAGTCATCAGGAGATAGTACCAGTCATCCCAATGCATCAAATTCTCCACTGTGTTGAGCCCCACGAACCACTCTCATTCATAGACCACACTTCAACTCTTCCACTTCCTTACACTCACTTGACCAGACTGCACAAATACGATCAGCAAATCATGCTGTGATGCATTATTACAGCTGGGAATGACCACCCAAGCCCTATTTCTCCTTTACCTGATGAGACAGCCCATCAAAGTAGATAGCGACATCCACACACACATTTGTTTCAACTCCATCTTGGTTTTAAATCACATGCCACCGTTTTTGCGTGTTTATCTGATTCTGGCTTACTGAGCAAAACTATGATTTACTGAGATTATTGTTCTCCTCTTTCCAAACTCTTTAAGCACTAGCGTGCAGCTTATTTTGTCATCTGACAACAGTTGTTTCCGTACCTTTGCAATAGACAAAGCAAACAATTCAGCTCTTCATCTGTTCACGGCCTTAGCTTTCCTTTGATCCACATTAGCCTTCCTTCCTGTTCTCTGCCATTCTCTCCCCAAGGCTGTCCCACTAACCTTTCTGCTTCAAAATCCTTTCTTCTGTAAACTCAGGGCAAAATGGAGAAGTACACAAACCATCAGCATTTGAGCCATTACTACTGTCTGTTCCTTGACTTTGCAGCTTACCTCGGAGAAACACAAGGTTGTCTGGAGACCTCCCAGAAGCATTTCCAACACAGAAATAAGAGAGTGCGCTGCAGAGACCTCCTGTGCTGGGGCCGCCCTGTCAGGCAGGAGCACAGAAATGTGCAGAACTGCATCCAGCTATCCCCTTTCCTTTCCTGGAGGCTTCTCCTGAAGGATGCAGCCTGAAAAAGCCTCTGAAAAGGTCCAAAGAATGCAATGTGATTGAGGGCTCTATCAGTAAGGCAGAATGCCCCCAGGTGCTGAGCTGTTTCAGGCACTTGGAGAATTCTTGCTGTGTTACACGGCTGTTTTATGTGATAGATTGAAGAACAAGGTACAGCTGGAAAAGAACCTCTGCCTCTGAATTCTGGGATCCTGGGAAGGCTTGGGCAGGCTGCACACAGCATGGTCAAAGCAAAGTCATTTGGTCCATGCCTTCATGTTGTATGAATAATTTGTATGAATTTGGTAAAGAAAAAAATGGACTGGACGAGATGATATGAGTGAGTATGACATAAAATACCCAAGCACTTCCTTCATAAAGACTTTCTCCAGATGAATTCTTCAGATTCCCAAAAGACACCTTCAAATACCCGTATCTCACCGGACACTGGCATTTCAACATTTATTACTGCAGTCATGCTACTATATTGCAGGCATGAGTTAATGCCTTCATCTTCTGGCTCCAGAAGAAAGAGACTGGCCTAATTTTTATTTACAAGCCGGGCAAAAGCCTCAGCATGCTGAGTCACCTGGCAAGTACCACGGTCCATCTCTACAGCCTTTCATGTAACACCCCAGCAAAGGGCTTTCAAATCATTTTTGTTGCCTCCCAGCAGAAAGCCCACAACCTGCACATGATTTGCTGCAGGGTTCAGCTCAGCATGGAGTATACTGCAATCCAAACTGGGAGTTTCTGGCCAGAAATGGCTGTGAACAGGCACACAATATAAAACAGGAAGAAGGATTTCAGTTTATCTGTGCTCACTTGGGCTCGTTTGTTGTGAGGAAAGACCTGGCAGGCTTCCCACTGCTAAGTAAGCCTAGAAAGGCTCCTGTCACCTGGGGACTCACATGCTGATGTGAGAGTGAGGAGGGCAACAGTCAGGATTCATCATTTTTTAGCATGATGCTAATACAGTCTGTCATGCTACGAGTGTAAGACAGGAGTGCTGAACAGAAATAGGCCTAAGAACTAGTGACAGCTTTTTTCCAAAAGCAAAAAATGTCACTTTGATGAGCTATTCTTTTATGCCAAAGCACAGAATGAATTTCCAGAGGTTTGTATCTGGATTTACGCAGTATTTACCAGCTCCTTAAATTTACTCCGCACTCCAGTCCAGCTTCTTTGATATAGGAAGATAGTATTTGCTGACTTTAAATACCACATTGTCTTACATCCCACATGAAATGCTAGCCTGAGGATTTCCAGGCAGATGCAGTTCATCCGAAGCAATTTAAGGTGGTGGAAGGGTCATGGGATCAAGTCACATCTGCATTTTCTTTCTTCTCTACTGCCTCTCTGGTTAAGCTTTTGCTTCTGGATTGTTTTGGGTTGGTTGGTTGTGTGTTGTTTTTTTTTGGTTGGTTGGTAGGTTTTTGTTTGTTTGTTTGTTTTTAATAGGGTAAACAAGGACATACTTGGGGCTCAGGAAATATCTGTTATCTATAGGAGCAACATTATTTTGCCTCTCTCTGTCTTTGGAAACCCATCATTTTGTAGGAAATAAAAATAGCTGAATGTCTCACAACTTCGGTTTTTGAAAACAACAGTAACTGTCATTTACATAGAAAACTTCCAGCTACCACTCTGTCCTGAAGAAAAGAGAACGAGCAATGCCACTGCTTTTTCACAGCTGACAAAACAGATACGGCTAAGTGATTGCCAAGCATGACTTAGTGAGCAGCACAAGTTGTAATATAGCCCTGAACTTCTAATCCCCATGCATCAGCTTCTGGGTCAGGCTTTTTCCATTTGAATTTTTAGCTTTCCTGAGTTCCTGGAATTCATTCACCTGTTTCTAAGGAGCAGTCAATGGATTTTCAGTCTCTAAAAGTTAATACAGATGTATTGCATAAATTGAATAAGATTAGTGCTTTAATACTTTTGCCATTGGTAATGGAAAGAGAAGACTGAGTATAAACACAGCATCTAAACTTTTATTGCCCTCTGTTTCTGAAGTTCATTCAAAATTAAGACAGTGGAACAGAAGCTATTGCAGGGGTCTTTCTACACAAAAGAGCCAGGTATTTAAAGGCAAGCAAAATAATTTGAATGTCAGTGAAATAACCATTAAAGGGCTGAGAAAAGTTGCCATTTATTAGAAGACCTAAAGCTGCATGCACAGTAGTAATCTTCTACGTAGGATCACTAATTTAGTATGAAAACCTAAACACTAGGCAGAGCATAACTAAACAGGAGACAATACATCCTGTGAAAAGGAAACTGGGTTTGGAATTTTACAGCCTCTTGTTTCATGTTTATACATAAAACTCTATAATTGATAATCTCGATAACACCTATATATTCCTAGCTGCCCCAGTGTTTTGCATTTTGTCTCTAACAGTGGCCCCCTGCAGCCTGGGAAAGAAGGTAAAACAAGGTTACACACTTGAATAACCTCCCACTCTTCCCAGCCTCACAGCAATCCTTCCGAGAAAGCCTAGCCCTCTCAGCCTCTTGTCAATGCCACTCCTTAATTGGCCCGAGAGCCCTTCTTTAAACAAAGCACTCTTCTCCCACAGGCCGAGCTCTTTCAGCTCTTCTGGCAGAGCTAAATCCAGACGAAGATACACCACGTACCAATACAAGAGTACTAGAAATTCAAACACATGGGAAAGGAGTGAGGTACTCCCAAGAGAAATTCTCCAGGTAGAGGTTTGCAGGTGGGATCTCTGCTCATACGTCTTTCAAGGAGAAAACTCTCCATCTACATTTAAGCCTGTCAGGCTGCTGCTTGAAGAAGAAGCAGAGCATGCCATTAACACTGAATGGTGACAAGCAGAGGATCAGTCAGAGTCAGTGGGTACACCCTTCACTAACACACAGAACATGAACTCAGTGAGGCAGTTAAGAACAGAACTTTGCCACAAAGCCATAGGACTTCCATGGATTTGACCAGAAGGGGTTCCACATCCACAATGATCATTTTTTAATACTAAGACAAAGCAGTAAGAGTAATTAGGTGTTGTGCAACTTTAAGCTCTTCTTTAGCAGTAACTTGTATCTCTTCACTTCCTACCTACATACTGCCAGGCAAGGAGGATTAACACACAAAATGCATCCTTAACTTTCATTCCCTTGGCCGTGGTCCTGAGGCACAGTGGTTCTTCACACTACGCTCAATTCATGTATGTAAGTACACCACAATGGATGAATGGGAACAAAGTAAATGCATATGCCCAGAGAAAGGCAGCACTGCCCGTGATACCAAAGGCACAGAACTCTCTGCTGATATATATACCAGACAAACGTGTCATTTAAAATGCGTTGTTCTTTCTCCTTTATTTAACCACAACACAAATACAAGAGCAGTCAATCCTAGTCCAGTGGAACTCACTAGATAAACCTGTTCAGATTAAGATTCTCATGAAATCAAACAAAATATACATGTATACACATACGCACACACACTCACGCACACGAGAATGCAGCAGAGCCCTTGCAAAATGAGGAGTAGCACTGAACTGCCCCTAAAAGCAAAATGCAAAAACAACAACAGAAAAATGCACCAGTTAGGATACATTTGTTAAGCAACAAAGTCGTGCACTGAACAGGTTCCCACTGTACCATTCCATTGGATATCTAAATACCAGCATAATTTGTTTCAGGTGCAGATTTGAAGCTCACAAAGAGAAAGAATCTGCTTTCACTTAACCAAGAATACCAGTAACACAGCAATTGCTCTACTGTAACTCAGAGCAGAATCTGGCCCTGTAAGTTGAACATGCTGGAAGGCTACTGCGGGTAACAAATTTTCCACATCTCTAGCAATGAAACTCACCACCAACTGTAGTTTCTAATTTTGCTTTTGCACCCTCCCCATTCTAAAGTCTGCACTAAAGCACATACTGCTCCTTTGGGTGGAAGAAATAATGCAGTGATTCTGTGATGCAAAGAAACACCCACTAGGGACTAGAATAAGACCTCCAAATATACCAAATCACAGCAGAAGAAATAGAAACTGGGCTCGTAGATAAAGCTGGTCAAGCTGGTCCATCTGATTTGTCAACGCTTTGTTCAGAAATATAAGACTCCTATATAGTTTACAAAAACAGTAATTCCTTATAGAACATCTCAGTGTCAAAATATTAACAAAAACACAGCTTGTTAAGAAGAGTGGTCTTGGAAAAATTAATAACTAAATTAGGCTGTAGCTAACAATAATAGGTGATACCTCTTCACAAAAAGGCAGTCGGATGTACTCAGGAAAAACGGAACATTCGAAACGAGCTGTTACAAAATTGATTTCAGTGTTCAGCACAGATCTAACACAAGTGTTAACATCCACTATTGTTAACTTTATTTTCAGACAACTATTCAAAAAAAAAAAAAAAAAAATCCTGCTAATACAAAAATGTAGAAAACAACAACAAAAAAGAAACAAAAAAAAATCCAAAGAGACAGTTTCTAGACAAATTTAGTTAAGGTGAAGCTGTACCTTTGTCCCAGTTATTAAGAACTTCAATGTTAAGAGTGGCATAACCCAGCTCAGCTAGGTTTGCAGGCTTCCCCACCCTTACTAAAGAGTTAGTTCTTAGAAGGCTCCAATCTCAGTCCCCCATGGTCTGTATGGTTTGCCAAGGTTTGCTGATTGTGTTGGTGCCGACGGGCTCAGCATATTGGGGGACAGGAGATGGAACGAGCCAAATGAAAAGGGGAACGCAGACAGCGACGCCATGGAGGAGAGAAGAGGAGGAGACAGTTTGGTAGTAGATGTGACCACGGGGAGCACTGGTCCGACGCTGCCATTTGGGGGCACTCTGAGTGAGGAAGTTTCAGCATGTGAGGCGGCAATTCTGCCCTGGTGATGCGGTTCTGAGGAAGACACTGGAGTACTGGTATTGCCGGGCCCATTCTGAGGCAGCAGCAATGGGTGAGATATGTGAGGGTGATGTCCAAAGGCGTTGCCCCAAGGAATGTGTCCAATGCCAGCATGCGCACCGCTTGCTGCTTCCCGCTGAGAGGCGTAGTTATTGAGGTGAGACACGAGTCGGACCCGCAGCGGGTCAGAGGCATCCAGGCCCTCTATAATGCTCAGGTATCGAGCGACTTCAGCCAGGCACTCTCGGAACCCGAGACTCCGGTAGTCCATAGCCAAGGCATGAGCATCGAAATAACCTACGAGAGAAAAAAAAGAATGAAGGCTTAAGACACCGTTTTCCAGTCATTGCCTGCGCGCAGCCTTTCCATGCCACCTTCCCCTATAAGTGTTTTCACTTGGATGTTTGTTAGTAATCCCAAATGCAGATTAGCTACCAAGCTTCCTATTATTTCTTTTTTGTTGCTGTTGTCTGTTTTGGGGGCTAACAGGCTTCTTTTATATCTGTGCTGTGATGCTGCAGCTCCCAGGACTACAGACTGAGACCTGTGACTGCAGACTGAAATTGCACACCGCTTCTGAAAGTACTTTTGTTCTTTTCACATCTCCCAGTGCAAGCAAAATTACAGCACAGCAAAATCCATTACAAGCACAAGTTCTAACTTATCAGAGATCACTTTGCAAACTAGTAAATTTGCTCCCATTTAAAGCACACGTCGCCATTTCTGCTAATTCTCTGATTCCATCCTTGTTTTTTCCAGTTTTATGTTCTGGAAATTTAGCATGTTAGATGAGTGGGCACCTGACAACAACAAAACCTCGCTCTGCTCCACACTGCCAGCAGCCGGCTCACCGCACAGTGCTGACAAACTGCTGCAGCACCTCGCAGTGCCTCTCCCCTGCAGGGCACAAGGCAGAGTTATCGCCGGACAGCACAGTGCTTAGACACCTGAGCCCAGAAGAGCCGCAGCACTGCCATCCTCATTGCGCAGCAGCCCAGCTGCCGCAGCTCCGAACTTTACCTTTTCCTCCGGCCGTGTGCAGCATCTTCAGGTGATCCACAGTCATCTGCAGGATCTCGGCTTTCTCCAGCTTGGCCGATCCCTGAGGAGAGAGGGGCGGGAGCTGCGGGCAGAGAGCCTCGGCGCGGCGAGCAGAGCCCTGCGCAGCCGCCTGCCTACCTGCTTCTCGAAGGCGCTGGGCACCAGCCGGCGCAGCTCGGACAGGCTGTTGTTGATGCGGTCGCGGCGGCGCTTCTCGATGATCTGCGGGGCACAAAGCGGGGTGAGGGGCCGGGCCGGGGCCGGGGGTCGGCGGGGCGGGCGGCACTCACCCCTCGGCGCCGCTTCCTGGCCAGGATCTGCGAGGTGGCTGACGGCGACGCAGAGCCCGCGGTCGAGCTCAGGTTCCTGCGGGGAGCGCGGGACAGCGGTCACCCCGGGCACCCCCGCCGCCCTCCCCCCACCTCCCCCACGCAGCTCGGCGCCCGCTCTCACCCGTTCTCGTCCGCGCTCTCCTTCTCCACCTCCACGGCCTCGTCCAGCTCCTCGCTGTCCGACGAGCTGTATTCGGGATGCGCCCGCTTCATGGCGGCGGCGCGCGGGCGGCCGCCGAGCGGGCGGCGGGCGGCGCGCGGCAGGAGGACGCGCGGCAGGAGGGCGCC